TTTGCATTTTCTAGCCTTCTGTTTTCATATTGCACAAATTAATTCAGAAAACAAAATGTTATAGAGGAAAGCTTATGATGAAATCAACTGAAGAATTCTTTATATATTTCCTTTAAAGTTATAGAAATAGTATTATTTATTCTCAAGTATTGTTTATTCTTGCTTAAGAATAGACTTGGATATCCCAAATTAAATTCTAGGGCTCCTCGCCTCAAAAAAAAAAAAAAAGGAAGCAAGGTATCTAACAAGAGAATACGACTCTTCATCTGAACTTCAGAAGAGGATGATGGAACTCCATTGGAATTTGCTCCTTCTTTTGGCCACCTACAGGTATTAATTATCCAATGGACTGTTTTTGTTTTATTTTGTTTTGTTTTTTTGGTATAACTTTTTATTTATTTTTCCTTTTTTAAAAAAGTTTTTATTTAAATTCCAGGTAGTCAACATACAGTGTAATACTAGTTTCACGTGTACAATTTAGTGATTCATGGCTGGAGGGTTAAAAAAGAAAATCATCTCAGCCTAAGGTAGTGTTTCTAAAAGTGGGGTCTGTAGATCAGCTGTATATCATAAACAGTTAAGGTGCATTTTAATATGTGGATTATTTGGCCCAACTCCAGATATACTGAATCAGAATCTCTGGGAGATAAAGTTTAGAATTCTGCATTTTAACAAGCATACCGGTGATTCTTGTGCTTTCCAAAGTTTGGGAAGCATTAGTCTAAGGAGATAGGTTGGCTTCTTCAATTAATTTTGCCCAGATTCAGGCAATGACATTATGATAAGAATAAAATTGTATTGTAGCTGCAGGAATGGAATGTCCATTCTTGATAGAATGATTTTTCTCCCTAGCCCTCTAGGATTATTTAATCCCAGTAAATTAAATGCATAACTCTAGTATAACTCACATACTGTAACTGTCATCACTTCAAATAGGATTTTTTTCTTTTAAAAAATATAATTTCTTCAGTGAAGATGTTGGCTTATATCAGTGGATTGATTTCATAGTCAATAATTTCTTCTATTTGCTGTATGTACATTAACCATTTTATAGTTCACTGGGCTTTCCTTTTTAGTACATAAATCAGACATCAGTTAAAACACATTAAACTGCTAAGAATTGTGTATCCAAATGATAAATATTTTTATTAAACAGTGTAAAAGTAAACAATTTTTCTGCTAAAAGAGATGTGCTGCCTATATAGAAAGGCCTAATTTAAGATTTAAGCCATAAATGGTTAAATATAAATATAATACAAATATACTATAGCATATAATTATAATTACAGATAATCTTTAAGCAGACAGAATGAAATAATCTGTGTAGTGAACCACATGTATTTCTCTATGACAATTTAAATTGTAATAAGTTGCAGATTCTGTGCCAAAACCTTGGTAGTTTTATATTTTTAAGGATCATAGTCTTTGTTACTGCATAAGGATCACCATAGTAGAAACTCTTATTATTAAAAGTTGATTTCATTCTGGAAGCACTGAAAAGAGGAAAAGACTTTTTTTTGTAGGCTGCTGTCATCCTCAAACTCTAGTGTACATAAGAATCATGTAGGGGATATGTAAAAATGGTGCATTCTTCAGTACTTACCAAATCATAAAATTAGGAGGTCACAACTAGGAATCTGCAGTGTTCAAAGCCCCCAGATGATTTTATGCAGTTAAGTAGTCATTTGAGAAATCTTAATTTCTATAGAAAAAGACTGCAACAAAAATGAAAAATCAGTAATTATTATTTTTATTTCTAAACATTCCCCATTGTGTATTATGGCAGTGGATACCGCTCCCCTATCCTACCCCCACCCCACCCCACCCCAAAATGAGCTTACATGGTCTTTTCTTCCTGGGCCCATTTCCCTTCTGTGAGTACAGCATACATAGGAGCAATTTAGAGACCCATGGGATTGAAAACACGACTTCTCTAAAAAGTACTGAAGATTCCTATGTATTGATTTATGAAACTAAGTCCTTTAGATTCTCCTATTTTGACAGGTAAGAAGGAATATAACATGGGAATCAGAGGAGTCTTGAAAAATATTTATTAGATAACAGAGACTATGGCAATATAAACATGGCTTTTTAAATAACTAAGAATGATTAAGTGTAATTATAATTAAGAGCAAAACATCTAGAAAAATGGTATTTAGAGATGAATTTCCCTTAATTGGAGACAGATGGATTTGAAGGGTTTGGGTTAGCTATAACTAAGATTTCTTCTTTGGAAATTACTGCCAAATAATTCGGGGAATCTCCTTCATTAACAATATTTAAAGTTGTAGTTGAATGTTTTCCTGTTTAAAGTCAGGACTTTGGGGGCGCCTGGGTGGCTCAGTCGTTAAGCATTTGCCTTGGGCTCAGGTCCGGATCCCAGGGTCCTGGGATTGAGCCCCACATCGGGCTCCTTGCTCAGCAGGAAGCCTGCTTCTCCCTCTCCCACTCCCCCTGCTTATGTTCCCTCTCTCGCTGTCTCTCTCTCTCTCTGTCAAAATAAATAAAATCTTTAAAGTCAGGACTTTGGATTTGTTACCCTGATGTTGAATTCAGCCCTAAGAATCTATAATAAATGTTGAGGAGAAAAGCTCTCATTCACATTTAGTACCTCATATAGTAAAATACAGACTTGGAAAGGACAAAGAAAATTAAAGATCAACTATTTGAGGATGAGAAGTAAATATTATTTAAACAATATTTAAAGTGGGTGATATACATGAAGGACACTCAAGGAAACACACTAAACAAGTGCTTGACTCGAAACAGCAAATGGGGAGGAAACAACCTGTGAAAAGATAAATTTGTACAGTTGGAACCAAATGATCTTAGAACCTAATGGGCCTGTAGCAGTCATCTGGTTTAATCTTTACCTTTTCTTTTTTTTTTTTTTTTAAATATTTTTTTTTTTTATTTGAGAGAGAGAATGAGAGAGAGCATGAGAGGGAAGAGGGTCAGAGGGAGAAGCAGACTCCCCGCTGAGCAGGGAGCCTGATGCGGGACTCGATCCCAGGACCCTGGGATCATGACCTGAGCCGAAGGCAGCTGCTTAACTAACAGAGGCACCCAGGCGCCCCTGAAGCAATCTTTTAAATCTGAAACTAATGATACATTATATGTTAACTAATTGAATTTAAATAAAATAAGTTAATAAAAAAAAGAGGAAGAGACATAAAATGGCTCTCTGACTGCTTGAACAGAAAACATGGGTCTTCACCTGTCTTTAGACTGGGACTTACCTCATCTGAGCCTTCTATGGGGTCTCAGGTTTTCAGAGTTGGACTAAAATTTATACCTGTGGCTTTCCTGGATCTCTAGCTTCCAGAGAGCAGATCATAAGACTTCTCAGCTTCTATAATTATATAAGCCTTATATACATTGTATATATAGTATATCATTAGTTTCAGATGTAGTGTTCAGTAATTCATCAGTTGCATACAACACTCAGTGCTCATCACATCAGGTGCCCTTCTTTAATGGCCATCACCCAGTTCCCCCCCCCTCCCCTCCAGCAACCCTCAGTTTGTTTCCTAGGATTAAGAGTCTCATATGGTTTGTCTCCCTCTCTGATTCCATCTTATTTTATTTTTCCCTCCTTTCCCCTTTTCCTCTTTTTATAAGGCCATAAATCCCATCATGAGGGCCTTATCCTCATAACCTAATCTAATCCTAATTACCTCCCAAAGGCTCACCTCCAAATACCAGGGCATTGGGGATTAGGGCTTCGACATATGAATGGTGAGGGGGAGGATGGACACAAATATAGCAACAGGTTGAATTACAAATATGATACAAATGAAGAAACAATTCACAAATTAAATTTTTTTTAGATTTTATTTATTTATTTGACAGAGAGATAGAGAGGGAACACAAGCAGGGGGAGTGGGAGAGGGAGAAGCAGGCTTCCTGGCGAGCAGGGAGACCAATTCGGGGCTCGATCCCAGGACCCTGGGATCATGACCTGAGCTGAAGGCAGACGCTTAACCAATTGAGCCACCCAGGGGCCCCTTCTTTTTTTTTTTTTTCATAAATTAAATTCTTAATCTGAGAACATCTGAGTATTAGTTGGCTTCTGTTTAGTAACCACACATATACTGGGTGGCATACAACAAATATACTGTCATTTATTTCTTACATGTGTATGGCCACTAGGATTTGGCAAATCTAGTTTAGACTCAACTGACCTTGTCTCTAAGCTGCAAGTTGGGCCCAAGTATGCTCTACATATCTGGCATCATAAGGATGAGTGGCTACCTGAGGCATGATCTTCTGATGGGAAAAGCTGGAGGGCAAGAGAGAAAGCCCACCTATGCAAGCACATAGTAAGCTGTTGGTCCTGTTGTGTCCATTAATATCCCATTGGCCAGATGTTGTTATATGGCTAAGCCCTAAATCAAATACTGGGAAAGTATACTCCTGTCTGGAGGAGAAGGGAAGGGATGATTATTTGTTGGACAATGTTTTAAATGTACTTGACTACAGTCTGCCCTTTTATTACAAATATTCATTCATTAGCCATATGTAAAATGTACTCAGTCATTTCAAAACACCCCAAAAGTCTTGTTCAAGCATGACATTAAAGTTGAAGTCTAGGATCACATGATTTATATAAGGTTTAGAGTATCTACTTGGGATTCAAAGCCCTAAACACTTAAAGGGTAAGATTTCTGCTCTCGCACATTTAACATATGATGGTGCAACAAAGGTAGGATAACTATAGTAAACACTTCTGTTTGACAAGGAGAAGAATAAGATACATATGGGAGTCACCAGTCTATAGTAATTCTGAAATCTTGCTAGGCAAATATTTCTTTCCTTTCTTTTTTTTAAAAAAGATTTTATTTATTAGACAGAGAGAGACACATGAGAGAGGGAACACAAGCAGGGAGAGTGGCAGAAGGAGAAGCAGGCTCCCCACGGAGCAGGGAGCCCAGTGTGGGACTCGATTCCAGGACCCTGAGACCATGACCCAAGCCGAAGGCAGACGCCTAACTGACAGCCACCCAGGTGCCCCTAGGCAAATATTTCTAAGTCCCTCCACCTTGGGGGTGTGGAATGCTCCTTGATGAAGTTTTACTTCTGTTTCTTGAAAAACACTTCCCGTATATGCTTCTTCATGGCTCTTTGCTCTGCTTCCTGGTGGGGAGGGAGCATATTTCCTTTTTCATCATCCTCCTTAGCCACTTCCGAAGAGGGCTCTTCTTGGGGCTAAGACACTCATGGTCTAGCCCCTACCTGTAGAACGTTGGGGCCCAAGGTTCTTTTTGTATCTGAAGAGTCTCAGTGTCTTTTAGTCCAAGCCTATGGTGCTTGCACTAGTTAAGGATTTTCTATATATTTGATTCCAGTCAATGCTACATACCAAAAGCTGCACCCACAATTCTCTTTGATATCATCTCACTTTATAGCCTTAACTACAGATACCTCCATCAACATCCTATTAGACCATATTCTTAATTTCTCTTAGTTCCCTTTCTTTCAGGTGAAAATATCTAGTAGATAATATGTGTAGTAAACACTCTACTTAAGCTCATACCTATGGCTGTATGATGGCTACCTTATGACTAGTTTATAATAAAGGGGACAAGTTGAGGTTTATTTATAAATGGTTCAGCTCTGTATGTGGGTATAAACCAAAAAATGATAGTGTCTGCACTATAAATCCATTCATGGGTGGACTTGAAAGCAAGTAGTGGGGAAAAATTCTTCCAATGAGCAGAGCTTCAGATGGTACACCTGGTCATCCACTTTGCTTAGAAAGACAAGTTTGATCAGGGGCCTGAAAGGAAAAATATTGTTAGGTTGAGCACTAGGAAGTCTAAGGAAAAGTTATGGGGATGAATCTAGATTTTAGTGTTACATGTGAACACCAATCATAAAGCATACACCACTAGACACATTGAACAAACAGACTGAATGATTACAACAGTTTACATCAAATAGCCTCTATCCCCAATGCTAGAACAATGAGTACATGAATGCATAGCCACAGTGGTGGGGACAGTGGCTATACAAGGGCCCCAGAGAATGGGCTCCCTTTTACCAAGGCTGATCTAACTGTTACTGCTGCTAGATGTCTAACCTGCCAGGAACAGAGACCAATACTAAGCCTGTGATACGGAATCAACCCCAAAAGAGAAACAAATGGTGGTAAGTAAAGTACATTGGACCTTATTCTGGAAGAGGCAATCGTTCATCTTGATTGGAATTGACATTACAGGTATGGATTTTGCCTTCCTGCCAACAGTGCCTCGACCATTTCCACCATCAGAGGGCTTACAGTGGGTTCTATCTCATGACATTGGCTCTTTCATTATAAATGAAATGAAGGACTACCATACCTAGGACATGCTCACTTCCAAAGGGCAGCCAGTATGTAATGATTGGTTGATGTGGGCTTATAAAGGCCCAACACTTTTGCATCAGTTTGGAACAATTCTGAGGAGCCATCTAGTTTCAGTGGGTTGGTTGAAGTCTTTTTGTACATGCATTACAGCTTACCTTCTTTCTCTGCCTGGTCTTGCTTGCTTCCTTTTCTTCCACAGGTGTTGATTCTGAGAACATTTCTTTGCAGGCTAATCTCCATATCAAGATTTGCTTTCATGGCACTCTGACCTGCAATGCAACCTTTATCTTGTCTGAGGTTTTACCAAAGGATGTTGCAGTTACACCCTTGATTTGGCCTTTACCCAGAGGCCATGTGTTACTGGAGGAACCTAGATTTGCTTTTTCTCTGAAGTTGGGATTTTGAGATAAATAGTTTCATTTTTAACCCTACAAATTTCAGAATTTCTGAATTCTTAGATTCCTTCTCAACTCTGTTTATAATCCAGGCAGTTCTTTTTGAGTTCACCTTTTCTTTTTTTTAAAGATTTTATTTATTTGAGAGAGAGAGAGTGAGTGAGAGAGAAGGCACTAGCAGGGGGATAGAGAGAGGGAGAAGCAGGCTCCCCACTGAGCAGGAAGGCTCAATCCCAGGACCCCAGAATCATGACCTGAGCCGAAGGCAGACGCTTACCTGACTGAGCCACTCAGGCGCCCCTTGAGTTCACTTCTTATGACTTTTTTTTTTCATTTAAGTTTTTATTTAAATTCCAGTTAGTTAAGATACAGTGTAATAGGGCACCTGGGTGGCTCAGTTGGTTAAGCGACTGCCTTCGGCTCAGGTCATGATCCTGGAGTACCGGGATCGAGTCCCGCATCAGGCTTCCTGCTCGGCAGGGAGTCTGCTTCTCCCTCTGACCCTCCCCCCTCTCATGTGCTCTCTCTCATTCTCTCTCTCTCAAATAAATAAATAAAATCTTTAAAAAAAATACAGTGTAATGCTAGTTTCAGGTGTAGAATTTAATGATTCAACACTTATATGCAACACCTGGAGCTCATCACAACTTACGCCTTTTTAAATACAATGCAGCTAGCAGTAGCTAGCTTTTTAAAAAAAATTTTTTATTGTTATGTTAAATCACCTCATCCCACTTCACAAGTTTATTAACTACATGTTCTGCCTTCTGTGTTATCACAGGTAACAATTTTCCCAAATGTTTTGCCACTACATAACATTGCTGACTTTTTCCCCACTCTTTTGCATCATTTTTTACTCTCCATTCCCATGGCCAGTGCCACATATATTACTTTTTTGTTATTGCAGCCCTCCACTCTAAATACCAAATTCTCTATCAAGTTTTTCTGCCTTACAAAACACCCCAAATCCAGTGGCATACAATAATATACATATATTTCTTACTCAGGCATTTGTAGGTTGGCTGAAGTTAAATGGATCTTGGCAGGACTCAGCTGATCTGCAACCTGCAGGTTGGACCCAAGTCTGCTCCATATCTCATCCTCTTCAAGCCAGAAGCTACTTGAGTCAGGTTCTCCTGCAAAAAGCAGGTGATCAAGAGATAAGTCAACTATGCAAGTTAACTTAAAATCTGTGGCAGAGAAGCATTTTCCTCCTGTGGGGAGAAGAGAAGGGCGTGATCATTTGCTTAAAAAAATCCATTACTGTATTACCAGAATGCAGGATAAAGTATGGAAACTAGGAAAGAACAGACACATGAATAATGGACAAAGCCCAACATATGCCTAATAGGAGTTCCAGAATGAAAAATAAGCAATATTCAAAGACATAATACCTACACTTTTTTTCCAAAAAAAAAAAAGATTCAGAAATCTTCAGATTAAGATTCAGAAATTAAAGTGAATTTCATGAAAACAAAACAAAAAGCAATTCTCCATACACACACGCACACACACTCTGTACATACACATATATACCTAAATGTACAGAAATTACAATGAGTTTGATGAGAACAATAAAAATAAAAATTGATGCACAAATTGCATACCTATAAATACATAGACCCATTTTCATGAACATAAAAATATGAATTTCAAAGAAAATCTTCAATACAAAAAAGGAAAAACAATTCTCAACTAAAGAAATGCCATTTAGGGGCGTGTGGGTGGCTCAGTCGGTTAATCATCTGACTCCTGATTTCAGCTCAGGTCATGATCCCAAAGTCCTGGGATTGAGTCCCACATCGAGTCCTGCTGAGCAGGGAGCCTGCTTCTCCCTCTCCCTCTGCCTGCTGCTCTGCCTGCTTGTGCTCTCTCTCTGTTAAATAAATAAATAAAATCTTTAAAAAAAAAGAAAGAAATGCCATTTAGATGGAAGACTTCTCATCAGTTACAGTATATGCAAGAAGACATTAGAATAATATCTTCAGAGTGCTGAGGGGGAAATTACTACCAACTTAAAATTCTGTACTCAGTTAAATTATTTAAGATGAAGGGAAATAAAGAGATTTTTAGGAAAAGATTGTGTTTACAACACACAGACTTCTCACAGGTCCTCACACAATGTACTTCAGGAAGATAAAACTTGAACCTAGAAGTGAGTAGACTATAAGGAGCCCTAGTGAGGAAGGAAATAAATAAAAACCATTCATTAGAGTGATTTTAAGGGAGAGGTGTTTTAAAAAGAAGCTGTATGAATGAACCCTGAGGACAGAATGCTAAGTGAAATAAGCCAGTTACAAAAAGACATATAAACTATAGGATTCCACATATGCAAGGTGCCTAGAGTAGTCAAGTTCACAGAGAAAGAAAATGTCATGGTGGTTGCAAAGGGCTGGAGAAAGCAGGGAATGAGGATTTGCTGTTTAAAGGCTACAGAGTTTTAGTTTTGTAAGATGAAAAGAGTTCTGGAGATTGGGTACATAACAATGTGAATGTACTTAATACTACTGAACTGTATACATGAAAAGGATTAAGATAGTAAAATTTTTGTGTATGTTTTACCACAATTAAAAAAATTTTTTTTTAAAGATTTTATTTATTTATTCATGAGAGACAGAAAGAGAGAGGCAGAGGGAGAAGCAGGCTCCCAAGGAGCAGAGAGCCCGATGCGGGACTTGATCCCAGGACCCTGGGATCATGACCTGAGCCGAAGGCAGACGCTTAACCATCTGAG